CCCGGGCCCCCCGCCACCCCCCGAAAGCCGACCCCGGCTCTGCTGCGGGTGGAGAAGGTGCAAGGAGCAACCAAGGCAGCTGCAACTGCAGCCACAGCCTGTGGGACAAAGTCTGTCCCTGCCCCTGCGGCACTGCCTGTTTGCAGACGCAGCGGGGTTGATCCGAGGTGCTGCGAGGCGTCGTGCTGCGGAGCGGGCAGAACGCGGGGCTTTAGAAGAGGCACTGAGTCCAGGCCGGGTAGCACGAGCTGGGCTGCTCTGCGAAGCCAAAGGAGCAGCCGGTTTTGTTTCCGTAGGTGCCGCGCGAGCGGCAGAGCTGGGGATGGCTCTGCTCCCCGTGCCTGCGCTCCTGTAAACAATTATCTCAAATTCCACTCTTCTGTATATATGTCACTAATAACTCTGTACTTTAAAAAGACAAGGCAGCCAGGGCACTAATTTCCATTTTACAGCAGGAAAGCTGAGAGTGACCAAGGCAAAATGCAGCCTAGTGCTGCCCAGCCAGGCTGTGGGTTCACACTACGAGCAGCACCAGCTCTAGGGAAAACCCCTGCGGAGGCATCCTGGACCAAATTCCACAGCTGTCGCTCATTCCCATAAAACACTGCTGGCTCAGCAGCATCTGGCCTTAAAACAGGGAAATTTAGGGAGAATCTGTTAAGCTGCTGGATTCATAAAACACAAGGAGCGTTAGGTTCTGCCAGGGAAACTTCAGATGGGCTGAGCATCCTCTATCCCGTCCCCTTTTGAGCGCAAATGGGACATACAGAAACAATGTCCAGAAAAGCCTGGAGACCGTTTTTACTTCATGTTAAAGGCAACACACACTCTTGCATGATTACAGCAGTGCCTTCACTGGGTGTTTGTTCAGAACTGCCCCCTGGGCACCCTCCCCACCACCCGGCAAGGGCAGCGGCGCCTGGTTCCCCCAGGCGGCTGCAGCGAAGATTTCTCTCAGCTGCAGCCTCTTATTCTTCCTTATATTCCTCTCCTGTGCAAGGAGGAAAAGCAGCACTCAAAAGAAATCAGCGGTAGCAGTGAGCGGGTGTGAAGCTGATCTGCAGCTGAGGAGTGAGGCTGCAGCAGTCCGAGTCGGAGCTGGGTTCCCAGCTCGCGCGGAAGCAGAGCCAGTGGCACCCGACCGCGCTCCAAGCTGCTCTCCTGCAGCCAGAACAGGAACATTAATGGCCCTGCAGCTGGAGAGAATTCTTAAATGGAGCAACAGGTATCTTCTGTGCAGCTCAGAGATGAGGCAGGCAGGAATCGAGTCTTCAACAACAGGGTCCCACCAGCAGCTCAGCAGCAAAGGGGATGTTTTCCTGGAAGCAACCCTGAGGTCCTTGATCATTAACATTTGCCTGGCAGACGGATTAGTTCAATACAGAAATAGAGGGATACGGAATGAGCCGTGTCCTTGAGAAGCACAGGGTTGGGATGGAAGGAGCGCTGCGGATGTTGAGGGATCCTGCAGGGCCGCCTGGAGCGGGACAGGATGGGGCAGGACGGGA